TCATTTTTATACATTCTTTTAAAAAATATTAATTTATTTTTAGAATAACTGGGTTGTAGATCAGAAATGCAGGGTTGAGACACAATAGGGAGCAGTGCAGGCAGATTGACTGAAATATACTGCTAAGGATAAACAGTGGGTGAGAGGAGATGTCTGCTGCACTATATGAGGCTTAGCTCCCTGGCTGAATATTAACCCACCCTGTAAAGGTGAGGCTACCAGTGAGGCCTATTTTTATAAAATCTTTAGTGAGGTTTTTTTTGCCCAATTTTAAATCAAGTTGTCTTTTTAACATTGAGCTTGGAAATTTGTGTGTTTTGGATAAAATTCCTTTATTGGATATTTTATTTGCAGATATTTAGCTTTTTGTGACTTATGTTATCAATCACTCGACATCGTCTTTCTCAGATCCAAAATTTCCAATTTTAATGAAATAAAACAGCTGCTTATTATTTTTTTCGTGCATCATATCTTTGGTTACTGCCACACTGTCATTTAGATTTTTTTTTATTTTTTATTCTAGAAGATTGATGTTCAGCATTTTAATTCAAATCCATTACATATTTTAAGTTATTTTATGAAGGGTGTAAGGACTGTATATAAGTTCTTTTTCATTTTTGCATCTGGATGTCTAGTTGTTTCAGTACCAGTGATGAAGAGATAAACTTTACTATTTTCTATTGATTTGGTCCATTGTCCAAGATAAGTTGTTTATATTTATACATTTACGTCTGGGATTTCTATTCTGTTTTTATACTTATTTTTGATAATGTCATACTTTTTTGTTTAGTGCAGCATTATTATTTATCTCAAAGTTTAGTAGTGTGTGAAAAATATCTGTTGTGGACACATCAAATAAAATCCTGACATTTGTAGGATATGAAAGTGTTCTTTAAATGCCTTGGCACTTTTTCTATTCTCTAATAGTTGTGACTGCCCCTTTCTTATCACATCTTTCAAGCTGTTTTTTAAAAGCTTTATCTTTTGAATGGAGGGTAGCAGTAGAAGCACTGAGGTGTTTTTATTTATAACGTGCTTACCTGTTATGCTGTATCTGTTTCAGTTACTGTTCAATGTCACAAACTTGATTTGTTCTGTAGAATGGGAATATTTGTTTTTAAATATAGCTTTGAGGGAGAAAAGCCTAAGGAACTTGAAATTACCAGGAATATCTTCTGAGATAGCTACATTATATTTATTATTATAACCAAATATTATAAAGTGGTAGTTAATATAATAGATAAGGAAAATATCTATTATCAAAGTTGTTAGTTCTCAACTTCTGCCATTCACTAAAGTTAAAAAAAAAGTTTATTATATTACTAAATTAATTTCTTTGAGTGAACATATAGGTTTATTTTACTATTTTCTTTTGTTTCTATAACCCACTAACTACCACTAACTGAAATTTCTTCCTTAATATTTCAAGTTCTTTATTTATTAAAAACTAGTTTTGAACTAACTCAATGGAATATGTGTAGTATATGTTCATTACAACACTATTTACAATAGTAAAGTTATGGAAACAATGTAATAATGACAGATGAGTGGAAAAAATATAATGTATAGGATCTCCCTGGTGGCTTAAAGGTTAATGCTCCCTTGATCCCTGGCAATGGTGCTAACCCTCATGGCACAGCAGACCTCTCCTGTCTCACCCACCTCTCTCCTTATCAGTGTATTAAATGCAAGATAAAAACCAGCACTTCCAATCTGTCTATGTACCCCTGACCTTCATCCCAGTTCTACACACACACACACACACAAAAAAAATTGAAGATGTGTGTGTGTGCATGTATACAAACACACAACAAAATATAGCTTTACAAAAAAATGAACTCTTGCCATTTGCAACAATTTGGATGGAACTGGAAGAGTATATACCTTTTAAAAAAATAGGAGAAAGATACTGATGATTTCATCAAGAATATAAAGTATCAGGCCCTCCCTGGTGGCGCAGCGGGTTAAAGCACAGCACTAAGAAGCTTAAGCCACTTCCACATGAGTTCGATTCCTGCCTGCCTCGGAGGTGACCCACATGGTGTGGCAGACCTCTCCTGACCTGCCCGCTGCTCCCCTCAGCAGTGTACTTCGGCGATCTGCCTGTTCTGCTCCCCGCTCTGTCTCTGGTGAAGTCTTTCACCACCCCTGAGTCTCTGGCCTGAACCCCAGGTCTGTATGCACAAATAAATAAATCTTTAAAAAAAAAAGAATATAAAGTATCAAAACCAAAGAACAGACAAAATTAAACCAAACTAAACCCTCAAATTGAGAGTAGTAGAGGAAAGGGTGAGGACCAAAAGAGGGAAAGGGCCCAGTGGTCTATGATTGAGGATTATTGGTGTTGTGGTGGTGGGTATGGTATTAAATATGCATCTGAGGAGGTTTGATCCTATAACCCTAAGTCATACACAGTGTTGTAAACCAATATTATCTCTTTAAAAATATACAAAGGGACCTCCCTGGTGGCACAAGGAATGAGTCTCAGCTCTGTGAACCTATTCCAGCCACTGACCACGAGTTTGATCCCCAGTCAAGGCGCTGTCACACATGGCGCGGCAGACCTCTCCTGTCCTGCCTGCTGCTCCCCTCAGCAGTGCATTTCAGTCCATCTGCCCGTTCTGCTCCCCACTCTGTCTCAGCTGAATCCTTTCATCCCCCTGCACCTCTGGCCTGTACTTCGGTCTTTCATGCATACATAGATTAAATAAATATTTAAGAAAATATATATGTGGGTGTGTGTACATATATGTACATATTATATTTATACATTTACGTCTGGGATTTCTATTCT